TTTTACCTACGGTTTAAAATTGTGAAAACTAGTGCTATGTGTTTTCTCTAGTTTTTTTTGTAAATTTGCAAAATCAGTAAATTATTTTTATCAATATTATAGTATATAAATCAGAGGCTAATATGAAGATTTAAAATTACTTTTCACAAATTTATATATATATTTTATGATTATTATGGACTAGGTTAATTATTAAGGGATTTCTACTAGTAGAATAGTGAACATATCTAGTTATGAGAACTTATTGGAGAAAGCTTAGTTTAGGTAATTGAGTCCTAATTTTAGTTGTGTTAATTGTTATTAGGAAGTTTTAAGGAATTTCCTTTAGTTTACAAAGTTCAGGTAAGTGGATTCTATCATAAGTTTACCGCCTTGTTTGTTCTGTTGTATTATTGATTGATTTTAAGTGAATTATGTGATATGTTACCTTGGTTTGTTAATGAATTATGTTATTCATGTTGCTTAAATATATTTTGCTATTGAATGGTGATTGTGGTTAAATTTGATGTATTGCAAAGCATGTTATGATTACGTGGTTTTATCATGTCATTTTAATTATGTTTAATAGCAAAACATGTTTAGGTAGAGCATGGCATAATGTGTGATGCATTGCATTCGTAGTTAAGTTAGTAGTCTTATGTGTCATGGGTTTAGGTAAGATTAATGTTATGCATGAAATACCCAAATTAAGCAGTTATGTTATGCAGCTAGATGTATGATATGACATGTATGGTTTCTGTTAAAGGCTGGGCCGTAGGAAACAAATTAGTTCATGTTAATAGTATTTATGGGGGGTAATTACCCTATAAATATTACATGCGGAATTAACGATTATGGTATGGGGTATTTCTGTATAGTATTGCACCAAGTTAAGGATTTAGATATGTAAGTTTATGCTAGCAAGCACAAGTATCTTAAGTTAAGTTGTTCGTTGGTTTATATGTTAGGTTGAGGTATGTATGCATATAAGCATGATGTGTGCGTTTGAGCATGAAAGGTTCCTTATGATGGGAACTACTTACTCGGTATTTTTTTATACTCATTCCATTTTGTTTTAATTTTTTTTACAGATAGTTATATAGTTGACGAGAATAACGTCGAGGATGACCTGGGCATTGACAAGGAGAAGATATGAGACACAGTTGGATTTTATTTATATACTTTTAATTATGACTATACCACATTTTTACTTGTTTTATTTAAGGATAATAACTTTGTGATTTCCGCTGCAAAGATTTATAAGTTAAGTCTTATTAAGTTATCGTTTTCATTTTTAGATGAAAAATACATGTTTTTATCTTATTTTATTTTAATGAAATTATGTTTTATGAGTAATTATCTCAATCTTATATTATTAATGACATATAAAAATTCGGGTCATTACAAATACCTTCGTTGCGGTCTTTTGTCCAGCAAAATGCCCTGCATATGGAGACATATGACAAGCCTCCAAAATTGTTTTTTGCTCCTCCTCTGCGATACACCTACGTAAGATTCTATCAGGACGAAGTTTATACAAAAAAGGCTCATCCCACCTATAATATCTCACATCATGAAGAAACTTTTTTACCTGCTACTGATTGAATTCATTAGGAATAATATGACTTACCAAGTAATTTGCAATGTCAGCATACCAAGGGACATTTTCAATGGGAAGGAATTGCTCAACAATGAATTGTTCTCGAATCTCTGCTTGACCTTCCTGAAGTGGGGACTCGAGTATAGACAAGTGGTCCCTTACTTCTATATCAAACTCTTGAAGTAGCAAAATCCATTGTATCAAATGTGGTTTTGCATCCTTCTTTGCAAACAAATACTTTAAAGCAGAATGATCAGTATAAACAATTACTTTTGTCCTTATCAAGTAAGACCTAACTTTATCGAAAGCAAACACAACTACTAATAATTCTTTTTCAGTAGTGGTGTAGTTTAGTTGTGCTCCCGTTAAAGTCTTAACTTGCATAATATACTGGCTGTAAAATCTTATTCCTTCTTTGACCTAACATGACCCCTAAAGCATAATCACTAGCATCGCACATAAGTTCAAAGGGTAACTCCCAGTTAGGTTCTATAATTATTGGAGCCGAGCTCAAAGTAGTTTTTAAAGTTTCATAAGCTGCCATACAAGAATTATCAAATACGAATGGTCTATCATTTTCCAAAAGTCGGCACAGGGGTTTCGAAATCCTTGAAAAATCTTTTATAAAACGTCTATAGAAACCCCCATGGCCTAAAAAACTTCTTATTCCTTTAACATTTGTGGGAGGTGGTAATTTTGAAATAACATCAATTTTAGCACGATCCACCTCAATCCCATTTTTCGAAATCTTATGGCCTAGAACTATCCCTTCTCGTACCATAAAATGACACTTCTCCCAATTTAAAACAAGATTTGTGTCCTCACATCTTTGTAAAACATTTTCTAAATTCAATAAACAATCATCAAAAGAATTTCCAGAAACTGAAAAGTCATCCATAAAAACCTCGAGAATATTTTCTACCATATCCGAGAAAATGGCCATCATACACCTTTGAAATGGCGTCGATGCATTGCATAGACCGAAAGGCATACGCCTAAAGGCAAATGTCCCATACGGACAAGTGAACGTCGTCTTCTCCTGATCCTCCGGAGTGATGGTAATCTTGTTATATCCCGAATATCCGTCTAGGAAGCAGTAAAACTCCTTACCTGCAAGATGATCCAACATTTGATCAACAAACGGGAGTGGAAAATGATATTTTCTCGTTACCTTGTTTAGTTTGTGATAGTCGATGCAAAATCTCCACCCGCTCACAGTCCGGGTTGATATCAGTTAATTTTCCTCGTTTACCACCACCGTCATCCGCCCTTCTTTGGTACGCATTGTACTGGGCTCACCCAGCTACTATCTGATATAGGGTAGATGACTCCAGCATCTAACCATTTCAAGATCTCTTTTCGAACAACCTCTTTCATTTTTAGATTCAAACATCTCTGATTCTATATTGAGTTGTTGGCACCTTCTTCCAATAGGATCTTATGCATGCAGAATGCAGGGCTTATCCCTCGAAATGGCGGCAATGGTCTATCCAATGGCCTTCTTGTATTTGGTCAATATCTGAAATAATGAAAACTCATTTTCAGTAGATAAACTGGAAGAAATAATAACGGGCAAGGTTTCATTAAGTCCAAGATAAGCGTATTTCAAGTGAGAAGGTAAAGGCTTTTGTTCCAAAGTGGGTGGTTCCACAATGGATGGTTGCAATGTTTTGTACACTTCTGACTTTATATCCTCTTTTTCATCTGGTGGATGCATCTCTTCAACTACAAAAAAGTATATTTAATTTCTAATTTATTTTTCTGATTCACCCGCTCTTATTTATTTTCAAAAGGATCAGTTAATAAAAAATTTAAATATCCACAAGTTAAATAGAATTTCCTATTCTTAATTATTCTTAATTTTTTGATAAATACTTCAAATATTTCAACTCAAGAAGTTAGAATTGTTCAAATAAGATGACCAACTAAAACTATTAATGAACACAACTATTTATTTTAAGGAAAATTTTATGACAATATAGAAACGAAAAATTTTCTTTATTAGTATCATTTAGTATGCATTACAAAACTTTCCCGCTATACAGCAAGAAGGAATAATTACACGAAAAACACTATTTTATTTTGGTATCAATCATAAAAGAC